AGAGCTATGTCATCTAAAGTAACTATCAGTATCAGAATTCTTACAGGAGTTGGTGGCAACCAGAAAAGGAGAGTGTTGTGCTGTTGTTCAACATTTTAGAAAATGACATATTCCTAAAAGAATCAAAATAGCCTACATGAGACAAGTGTTGATTTCATCCTGTGACATCAACTGTCCCATGAGATTCTACATGCCTTTCTTTTTACTTTCTTCCTTTTAGGTCAAATGGGTTTTTCAATTATTATTTTGTCAAAAGGGGCAAATGAAGACAAATGCAAGTCAAGTTTGCTGAATTTTGGCTGTCAGCAGCTATAAAGTGTGGCCATCAACCACCTGGAAGTTTACTATATGGGAAAAAGTGATAAGATCACAGATGTGCTGTGGGTTCTGTGGGGTGTGGAAGAAACTATAAACTATAAAGAGAGGGGCCTCTGTGCATTTGAAAAATCAAAAACAGCCTAGTAACCAAGACAACAGCAAAATATGTACATATGTGCACTAGTTGACAAAGCAATGACCCAGTTGTCACAGATAATAATAAAAAAAGTGTCAGGAAAACAAGAAAAGATATAAAAATCCAACCCAGGTGCATGTTGCTCCCCTGTGAGACTGTGTCATGGTCTTGTCCATCCTGTGAAACTCTTCAGCTTGATTAAAGGGTAATATATTGTTGGTAATAACTTAGGCAAAACCACCCAGAGACCCCATTTTATCATAAAATGTGGATCTTCTTGGTGCTCGCTCTCGCACTCGCTGTTAGGGCGTCAGAAACAAACAACGCCACAGCTGCTGAAGGAACGCTTGTTATAGCCAGAGGTAAACTGCTGGTGAGTACAGGCAGAAATCTGTAGCTTTAAAATGTCGTCTGGATAACTTGCCCACAAAATCCTCAAGATTTTGTGAAATCAGTCCAAAGTCTGGAAAACATCAGCATGTCTGAAATTAAATACCCACTTGACAAGAGGACAGGGCACACTGTAATGGCATTCAATGAGCAAATGGGGAAATGGATAAGATGAGGGATAAGCCATGTGCTATCATTTCAGTACGTATTCCACTGTGATACAATCCTATTTCTGACAGCCTTGATCAAAAAAACAATGAAACATGCACAATGCTATTTCATGTTGAATTAACAATTGTCTGCTGTCGTCCCTGCAGGCTCCCAGTGTGGTCGGGTGAGGCATAAAGAAAATGCCTGAGCTCCATCAGTTTCTCATGGAGCGGTGGGCTTTGTAGTATCCTTGTGCTGTTTTCATGTTCCTCTGGCTTTTCAGTTAGACGCGACCTTTCTAAAAAAATCACCACTGATTTTCTCATGACCTCTTTTCTAAACAAAACAATTCTCCTAATGTGTTGTCAGTTTCCAGTGCCAGCTCTGTGAGCCTTCCAAAACTCTGCTCTTCTAAGATGTAATCATGTTGAGTGTAACAACAGCAAAACTGATGGATGTTTTATTCTTCCCAACACTGCCTACCTGTTGTTCCCCTTGATCCATTCTTTCCTGCGTAGCCACAACCTGGAATATGATTCATCGGAGCAGAAGAATCCCCGTCTGATATTCTATAATGAAAAGGACGAGGTTGTAAAGGTGAGATGTGTGTTTTCAGGGATCTTTTACTTATCTGACTCGAGATGGGGCTTATTTAGGCAGTGCCAGATTGTCAAGACAGATTAATGTAGGGAAGGTTTAAGACTGATGCTGCATCTGCTATTAGATCCTCTTGTCAGATACCGAGTCACACAGTCACAGTGTGTTTGAAAGAGTGAGACAGTCACAACAAAAGCAAGCAATATTTTTGTACTGAAACAGGATAGTTGATATGAATTTGAATATTTTTATGGCTTGGAATTACAACTGTTCAGTGTTTCCCAAGGTTTTTATTTTCATCGCTGTGGAAAAGCCCCTGTTAGCCTTTTTTAAATGGACTTTATTGGTTTCTTGAGTAGAAACATTTTAAAATGTGCAGTATGTGGAAGTTTCCTTTTTTGTTTTCCATCTCCATCCGTTTCATTCAGGATCTAATGTGTGTTGTTTTTATTTATTGTTTCATAATGTGGGCACCTTTCAAGTAATTTGACTTATTAGTTCAGTGTTAATTATTCAGCAAATGAATAAAAATAAATATGGAGAAACCTTTATATCAGCACTGACTGAAAAGGTTTTAATAGAAACACTTTTTGTAAACCAAACTAATGCATCAAATCGGAAAATACTGTTTATCTGCAACCACTCATTTACACTGCATTGCTGCTTCTATGTGTCTAAATGCATGTATGTCTGTCTTCCTGTGTGTGTGTGTGTGTGTGTGTGTGTGTGCGTGCTTCCTGACACGTCAGACTGTTCCCGTGAAGAAAATGAAGGCAGACGAGATCAGCAGCCTGTTAGACTCACTCGGTTTCTACAAGAGGTCCCAAAAAGGGGAAGAGGTGCCAGAGGAGTTCCAGCATTTCCCCCTGCATGCCCCCAGGGATGAGCTGTGACGACACCTTTCGGCCAAACTCTGCAGCTGCACCCTGGTCACATTAATGATGAGTGGGGCCTCAAGGCCAAAACGATAAGCCAGGCACCATTCTGAGAACTTGCTGGCCAGGTGCAGTGTGCAGGGTGTTAGAGCTGAATTTAAACTAAAGTCTGTAAAACATCTTAATAAATGTTGAAATGGGTCATTGCATTTAATGTGCTTGTTCGTCTTCATCATCGTCACCTGAATAGTTTCTCAAGTAGAATGAATGAGTGTTATCTAGATTAGAGGATAAGTATGTTGTCGTCTAAAACTCTCAAAGTTTTCCTCTGCGTTTAATGGAGATTCCTTGTTCTGATGTTCATTTTAGTCCATATTTAATCTCTGTAGAGCTTAAATAAATGTTATATTCTCTAATTAGATAAACAAATTTGGTGACCTTCATAAATGGCCACAAACTGACTAACAAATAGCTACATAATTGTTTCAGCCTAATCCTCAGCCTGCCTCTTTCTCTATAATCTGATTAGCAGTAGTGACTGCCAACATGTGTCTGTGTGTCCATTTCTTTATGTGCCTCCAACTGTGCATTTGTGTGAGTTAAGACAACAAGGATTAGCAGTAGGTGCTGAAACACAAACAGCTTTGGACTGTTACACTTCCTGACTCTGTAGCTCAGGCACGGTTAGCAGCTCTCTCCATAATGCCTGTGTTTTATTCGCCTGCTCCTGACAACCTGCAGATGGGCCTGGCCTATATGAGAGCCTCTGTGTTCGCCAGCAACAGGACGGCAGACCGCGACTTCACCAGGGAGCAGGAGGATGCATCTGGTTAGTTACTAGTTCCACCGACCCTTCACAACTATATCATAGTTTACAAGCTGAACAATGTCATTTAACATTTTATAATACAAAATTATATATATGATATCTAAGTCTGTGATTTTCATATGCTGTCATCAGCTTTAATTTTGTTTCTCTTGACATATTGAATATTTGTTTTCCTAATGTATATTTTGGCCTTTTTAAGATATGTTGTCATATATTGTTTAGAACTGTCTCATAACAATGTATTGTTACTTACCTTTCAGTGATCAACGAGCAGGTTTCTCACCTTCCCCTGCAGATGCTGCTGTACTTCAACATGTTTTATTTTCCCTGTTGGTGGTTCTCAGCTGTGTTCATGTTGGAAGTAAAGGTTGGTTGGGCAGCCAGAAAGTGACACCAAGCTTAGAAAATGATCCATAAGACAAACTTAAGATGAATTCTTCTCAAAAGCAATGCTAAAATGTTTACATTTTTACTATTTCAAAGACATATTAGTGTTTAAAGAAACCAGGAAGTCGCAAGCATGATGTTGTCTAATAGCCTGGCTCATTCATTGGACAGTTTTCATGAGTTGTCATGTTGCATCATGAGCGTGGTAATGACCGAAACCAGGTATAATCTGGTGACTGAGAGTAATTCATTCTGTAATTCACTGCACTTAAAAGCTAAAAAGTATACTCAAGTATACAAAACATATGTGGTATGTAGCGAGGGTTATTATCTATTCAAAAGTAGCAGAAGATGTAATGAAACACTGTAAATCCACTTAAAGCCAAATTTTAAAATGCCCGACTTTGGCTCCATCTAGTGGCAGCATCAAGAGAGATTCTATTGTCACCAGCTCAGATCTAACAAGAAACAAAAGTAACAGTCTCTTGTCTCATTTTCCTGAAAAACATATAT